TTTTAAAGGAAGCATCTTCATATGATTTTTTTGTCTGTACTTGGTTATTTAATCATTCTCCACAGACAAGTGTTTAAGACTTAATTAAGCACTTTTGTTCATGGACCGATATGTCTCTTTTCTACTTTCTACTTTCCCAGCACTCTCAATATACAGTGGCCTACTATTCTCAAGTGTATATTTACTATTTTTTAATGACTTAATAAAAAATTCTTAAATTAAATTATTTTCCCTAAGTATGAATTGACAAGCCTGTAGTTCTATTAATAGCATTTTTGTTTATATTGTGCAAGTTAGATATTCTTTCTGCTACGAGACAAAGCATAGAAAGATTGCGCATCCTGACGATCCAAGGTATGACCTTGGTATGTTTTTCCTTTGTTTTACATATTTATAACACGAAGTACTGTTGAATCGCAAGAAGATATACTGTTGATGCAGTTTGCTAATTATTTCAGGTTTCAAAACCTTTTGCTTCCCAATTTCCTTGGATGTAACTTCTTAGGGTTGTGTTAGTGATAATTTTATCATTTTCATAAATACAAATTTCTGATTCACAAATCTTATTATGTTTTAGGCTGTTTTTCTCAAGCGTCCCCTAAATATTGCTGGAGGCTGGAGTTTTATATTTGCCAAAGGTATTAAGGTAGTCTACCATTAAACTTAAACTATGACAGACACGCTTTTAGAATTCTCTCTTCCCCAACATATGCAAACCTCAATCTCAGGGCTAGGGATGGCAATGGGTCGGGTTCGGTTCGGATATACCTTTACCCGAAACTGACCCGAAACAGAGATCGGTCATTTTTTTTTGCCTGAATTCGAACCGTCGGGTCGGAGTTTCTACCCAAACCCGAACCAAACTATGCAAACCGAGGCCTGATACCGCAACCGACCCGACTAACCCGCCCGACCCAACCGACCCGACCATCCGACCGACCCGACAACCTGACTAGCGTGCCTGACCATTACCAGTTTAAATGTCCAAACATATCAGTTTTTTTCTGATTTTTTAAGAACTAGAATAAAATAACAAATACATGCAATGGTTCAATTACAATTCAAATGCATAAAAAGATTTCACATTTTAAAACAATCATGTAAAACAATCATATTGCCTAACTCCATTCTATACACTTCTTGACTGAATTTGTACTTTCCAGGAACATATGGCATGTTAGGATCTTTTCTAAAAGAAGCTTGAATGAGTTGTTGCCTGACATCCACTTTCTGTTTGGATTTCATGCAACTATTCAAATGATTTTTTAGATGTGTAGTGCCACTTTCCCCTGATCCAGCATATTTTTTGCCACAACCATGACATATCGCTAGTAGTTTATTGTCTATCAATTCCCTAGAAAAATGTTTCCACACAAAGGATTTTAATCTTGTGGACCCTTGATCATCTTTGGTTGAATCTACTTCAAGGGGTATTTTTGAAGATGCTGGAGCACTTGCTTTTTGTACATCGTGTTCCTTTGGTGTTGACTCTTGTGTTGATTTAACATCATCTTCACCCATCCTAAAATGCAACATATATTTATATTAATATAAAAATCCAACAATAATATAAATTGATTATTTTCAAAACCAGATTAATTATATTAAGAATTACTGATTCTTGAAAATCAATAAGTCATCTACTTCTAAAAACCAGATTTTGGATGCACAATTATCAACTAATTATTTTCAAAATCTAAATAAAAAATAAAATCTAGAACATAACTATTTATACAATAGTCAACACCAATGATTTGCAGGCAAAGTTATAAGTTATACTTCAAATTACCATACTCACAACCTAATAGGCCAACTTCTGTCATTTTATAACTTTAGTATTTCAAATTACTAGTACTCTTAGTGTTAGGCAATCGTAATGGTCGGCCAGATTTATGGAACTTGGAAGTGTTCCTCCCAAATTCAAGTATTCTTCTAAAACTAATGATTTGTCTAACTAAAAATCAATTGCCGACCAGGCGACCAGAGTATACATCAAGAATAATTCTTTGCACTTATTTTATGAGAATATGAAAGGAGTGAATACCTGAGAAACTACAAGAAGTGGAGGTCGATCTGTAAAGAAGAGGGGCTGAGCGGCTCCCGGTAAAGCAGTGGATGAATCGCGGTGGTTGATTGACCGGAATTGAAGAAGGCTGGAGTACTGGACTATTGGACGAGTGGAAGAGGGCTGGAGACAGTGCTGGACGGCTGGGTAATGGGGTGACTTACGGTTAGGGTTTTTTAAAAAACACAAGGAGTATATTTTTGTCGGGTTTAATGTCGGGTCGGTCGGGCACGAGTCGGGTCGGTCATATTTATTGAACTGAAACCAACCCGACAAAGGTCGGGTTCAGTTTTAATTTTCTTGGGTCGGTTTCGGATAATAAATTTCTCGGTTCGGATTCAGATATTAAAAGCTCCGGTCGGGTCGGTAAAAGTCGGATTCGGGTAGAATTGTCATCCCTACTCAGGAGGGTCGATGCGCAAACGCAGCTGCCGGTCAGAGGAGTCATTACGACCCGTTGTGCACGACGGCGGAGGCTGCCACCGGCTCTTCTGGAAGGGAGTTTTATGGCTGGTTACTCGTGCATCGTCCCTGATGATTCGGTTTGCCAAAGCATCCAAGCGTTTATTAGTGTTATTAAGCTCCAGGCCAAGGTTTTGAATGGCTTGCATGATCGTGGTTAACAGCAAAGGAGTCTCAGGGGTCTTGCCGGCATCGGCACTCATGGTGATTGATTGTGATTGTGGTCAAAGATGGAAGCACCACTGATACTCCAATGATAATGCACAGCACAGGAGGGGAAAAGGATTTAAAGGATGAGGGAAGAGGAAGAGAGGGAGAGGAAAAGGAAGGGAGTTGAGGGTTAATTCATTTCTCATCATTCAATACTAAATTATCCCCATTATCCCCTTATTTATAGTAAAGAGGTATACTAACTTTATCACAACTCAATTATCTACCTGTCGGTTCAATAAAGGCGTCAAGGGAAAGAATCGAAAAAAAAATTCTTGAAGGAGCTTATATCACACTCTCCTAAGAAAATCTAATTTACAATAATAAATAAACCAAAAAAACATCAAACGAAATTATCAAAACGGCTAGGACGCCTCCTCCTTTTTGGTCGTGTGCCTCGAGTTGGTGTCTGCTAAGCAGTGAACCAGATACCTATACCTATAACAGGCCAAGCAGCTAAAAAGAAGTGTAACGAACGAGAATTGTTGAAACTTGCGTATTGGAAAATCAATTGGCCAAAATAACCATGAGCGGCTACAATATTATAAGTTTATTCCTCTTGACCAAATTTGTAACCTTTGTTAGCCGATTCACTTTCGGTAGTTTCCCTAATTAAACTAGAAGTTACCAAGGAGCCATGCATAGCACTGACAGCTGTAGCATCCGTAACAGCATGTACGATACGTTCAAGTTTTAAAAATATGATCCAAAGAATGCATTACTCTAAAATCAGACAATATTATGTAAGATGATATTTCATGATAACTGGGACGAACTTTTTTTCTGTTAGAGACTTCCTCCAAGAATAAACAAATAAAAAGAAAATCAATATAAACAGATATTACCTTACCAATTTTTACAAACAATAATCAACACAAAAAAATGAAGGGCTAACATATGATAATCTCTTTGTCAGAAACATAACTTGGAGCGGGTACATGAACTTAAGAATAAAAACAAATGCTTCCAGATCTGTCAGACTCCGTTTTCGCTTGAACAAGAACTACCAAATATAAAACCTTAAGAACTCGTGAAAATTGAATCAATAAAAACTTATCAATTGAAAGCCGTTTAACGATTGTAATGAAGGAAGATGATTTTTTGTTTCTAGTTGGAAATTCACGACTCAGAATCACAGAAAATGGAAGGATCATAGAATAATTCCAAGTTGTTCCGTAGCCGATTGTTTTCTTCCGCTAAGATTCCCCAAGAGTTTCCTTCGATGAAGAGTTTCCTTTCGTGAAGATTTCATGAAGATTTTTACAGTTTCTTTGTAAGGAAATATTTCTTAATTACTCTCTTTCCATATCACATACTATTTGCCAAAAATTGACACCTCAACTTCTGCCACATGTCGAGACATACTTCCGCCAAATGTCGTGTTCTTGGAGCTCAAACTCTCAAATTTATATACTCTGTATAAAGGATATAAAGATAAAGATATATACTTCAGGTTACGGATTTAACTCACTACTTAAATATCGTGGTAATTAGTTTACGGATTTAACTCACTACTTCAGATGTAATCAAGAATAGTTAAGCCATATCTACTACTTTACACCATCACATATGATTTGAAACAAAAATACTGTGACATATAGAAAAAAATAAAAAGAAACAATAAATTAAAATATATGGAGTTTAAATTATTTAGGTAAAAAGAAAATTTCAAAAATAAAATATGCATTTCAACATCTTTCATTCTTTCTAGCATTTTCCTTTTTTTTTTTTTCTTAATTTTCAAACTCTTTCTAGTTTTTCAATTTCTTCTTGTTTTTTTCTAAAACTTCCAATTCCTTCAAGTTCTTTCTTCCTTTTTTTGTTTCTTCCAATATTTCCAAATTTTTACATTATTTAGTTTTTGAACTCTTCCCAATTTGTTCCAATTCTTCTGGTTTTTCCAACATCTTACTATATTTTTTCAACGTATCGTAAAAGAAGAGGAAGAACAATAGAAACCCCAAAAGAAGCTTATAATTTCAATTGACACTTTTAACTAGAATATATTACAACAATTAACGGAAAGAAATTCAATTACTAAAATGGCATAATCCTCCTAGCATAACATAACCTTTTTGTGGGCAAATGCTATTGAAATGAAATTCTTTCCAGGATATAGCATGATAAGGGTACTAAATATATACTTAGAACAAAAGCATCCACATATTAAATTATCAAGATTAGGTATCAATACTAACCACTTATTCCCTGCTATAAACACTTTTCTTTTTTTGGACTACAAATTAAACAGTACAACCCACCCACATTGGGTCCTCTTTTATTTTATACAGAGTACTCCGTATTATTCAATTTCCCTTTTGAATGTGTGGTGCTAAAATCATGGGGAGTAATTGAGTACATAGTACCAAGCAGATGGATGAGATCCAAGATGCCAAATATTTCCAGCCAAACTGTGGGGAACCATAGAGGTTACTAACATTTTACAACTTCCAAATGACTTCATGTGAATGTCTCTTATATGTCACAAAAATGACAACTGCTTTCAGAAGAATGAGATAATGATCTCTAACCTCACCTACACTTAAAAATATTTGAGGAAAAAAATGCCTTAAAGCGGGTTTCCTTTCAAAGGTAACCCATTAATTTTCTTCAATTAATTAAAAATAATAGGGGCTAAAATAAATGTGTGTATGTGTGTGTGTGTATGTTTACTGTGCCATGAGCTGATCAAGATGCATCTCTTCCAACCATGCATGCAACGTTGACTGATCAAATTGCTCCATCTGGTGATTCGACGAAGATCCCTCAGCTGAAGTAGAGGTCACATCAGGCCCTACAATTGCTTTCAATTCTTGGGGAGATTCTTTGACAAGAGACTGAACCCATGATAGATCAGGCTCCTCACCACTGTTGTTCGCCAGTTCAAATGATGATGATCTCCTATGCTTACCCCCAAACTCCTCTGTTTTGAAGGCCCAGTCTGGTTTCCCTTCAGACGGTGGACCCCATTCTGACCAAGTGCTAGAGCCAAGATCGCGTGAACTGAGGCTCCTCAACTGCTGCTGCTTCTCATGCTGAGCAAGTAGCGAGACACGGGGACTCAATGGTGAGAGGGGGTCCACAATTCGGGGAGACATCCTCCCCTTTGAAGATGCTACTCCAAAAGATGACTGCAAAAGCGAGGTGTTGTCAGGCGAACACTTTGTATTTATTGGAGATAAGATGCTCTGTTGCTGCTGCTGGAACTGATTGCGAACTGCTGATTTGTGGGTAGGAGAAAAACAGGCCTGAGCTACTAGTGCTTGATCAGCAGAGTATCTAGGGGACGACGAACACTCTGCAGAGAAAAGATCTTCAAGATTTGAAGGTGCCATGGCTATTGAACGTCCTGATCGGTTAAAATCCTCAGCAAGGATATCTCTGGCGTGAAAAGAGGAGCGCAATCGACTGGACTGGAAATTGCTTCCTGGGAGAAGCAAAGTGGGGACATTTTGTGGGGCCCAACCCATGCTCGAGAGGCTGTTATTGGAAGGAGAAAGGGGTGGAGTAAACGGTGAGGATGGAGAACCCATGGCCGACCCGGTTGAGACATACAAAGGCCTGAGTTCCTCTTGGGCATGTGCAAAGAAGCAAACTCTTCTGTTACACGTTGTACCGTCTTTGCAGAGGCGGGTCCGGTACTGAGCAGGATGAAGCCAACACTCAAAAACTCCATGAGCGTATTCGCACATGTCGCCCCTGCGGCATGCCCCCTTACGAAACTCTGGGCACGGCACACAGCTGTAATGGTACTTTCTCGGGTCCCTCCGTCTCGCATTTTCGCCCGGATGGACAAACGGGCATTCGGTCCAATCGTGGGAATACGCACGCGAGCAAGGACGGATCTTGAAGGAGAACATCCTGAACTCATCAGTTGAAAATATGCTGTTTTTTATGTCGGGCAGAGACGGGTCAATCGGGTATTCTTTCTTGTGATTGTGATTATTATCACTCTTTGGTGATGAAGTTGTTGAGTCCGGAGATCGGTTTCCCGAGGAAGAATCAGATAGTAGCCTGCCATTTAGAAGGTTCTGGATAGACAACTTCATTGAACTGAATGTTGGTGGGACAAAAACGACATCAAATGGGGTTTGCCCGTTTACGTCTACCATCTTCGGGTCAGCACCTGATTCCAAAAGCAGTTTGATTGCATCCAAAGCATTATGAGATCCACCAGATGCAGCACAGTGAAGGGCAGTGCTCTTGTCACGACCGCATGTCCGATTCACATCAACTTCGGGCAAAGAAAGGAGCAGTGTTAGAACTTCAATACTTCCATAAGTTGCAGCAACCATCAAAGGAGTTCTATGCTCTAGAAGCATTTGCTTCGATCCTTTTTGCCACCCGTACCACTGCCCAATTTCATCAATGCTGGACGGGTCATGGTCAATCCATCTTTTAATGCCCTCCGTGTCATTGTCAGCAGCAAGTTCAAGTAAACTTGAAAAAGTATCATCAGTTTCAACCGTCAAATGGTTTACGTTCATGATGATCGTGTGTATAAACTAATATATATGATCAAAGACAGACCACGTAATTGGATATAATATATTCTCTCAACAGCTCTAAACAATAGCACATCCTTTCATCCCAGGATCCAACTGATAAAAAGAAGATTTAGGATTAGTATCAAAACCAAGCAAAGAAACCATATAAATTTTTAGAGCAAAACTGTTAAACTTAATTTTTTTTTCATTTTCTATTGACAAGCTTGGGGTAGGCCAAGGCCTAGTTTGGCCCACACAGCTATGCCAGTATTCCTATTTAAAGAGAATAGCTCAAGTAATCATCCTAGAGCTTGGGCTGGGACTAGGGGATATTTGTAGAACCAAGATCGAAGAAAGCATATAGTAGTTGGTAAAGAAACCTTCATGTTATTCCAAACTATTGTTTTAAGAAAACAACTTTTAAGGAATCAAGAACCAGAAGCAAAAGTTTCCTTCTATGAATTAAACATTCCCTCTGCCATATTCATATTTCTCAGAAACTAACAGAACTACCCACAATTAAACAATTTACTTCAACCCCAAAAATGTGTAACCTGCTTTTTGGCCCGTCCAAATTTATCTTAGCCATTTTTAGGAGTAGAAAGCATTATTTATTTCATCTCGTTTCACTTTCCAAATCTATGTGCCCATTAAAAGCGAGCAACATAATATGGGCCTGGGATTATCTAGAAAAAGAAACCAGAGATTATATTTATCAGGGATTAGTGAGTCCTGATAAAAAAAACACGCAAAAATAGAAAAATAACATAACAAAAAGAGAGCTTTACTATTCAATCAAGGATTAATAAACAAATAATCGTTTACCAAAACCATAAAAATCTAATTTTGATGGTACTGCTCTTCAAAGGAAAAGACTAACAGTAAAGCAAAAATTCCCACTGAAACAAAACGAAGATTGAGCAGAAGAAAATACTGCAACTGAACATCAATCTGGCTTTGCAACATAAACCCAAAAAGAAGAAAAAAATCCAGGGATTGAAGAGGTACCAGAGTCCCCAGTGGAAGAAACCCATCCATTTCTTATTCCTGAATTTCTTGAGAGAGAAAGAGAGATTTGCCGATCGGGCCAGTCTAAAGAGATAAAGACGAGAGGAGGAACGAGAAAGTTGTGATAACTCAAGAAGGATGAAGAGGAGATGATGTTGCTGCTGCTAGTGCTGGGGCTGCTTTTTTCTTCGCCATTTCCTATGCTCTCTCTCCCTCTCTTTCTCTCTCCCTTTTTTTCTTCACTTTTCTTTTTTAATCCACTGAGAATATTTTATTTAGGGCGTATTATTACAATAAGAATTTTTATTACATTAATTTTTATATACTCCCTTCGTCCATAAATAAACTTCTCATTATGCGTTACGATGTTTGACTGAAGTTATTTTCAAATCATCTTAAATGAAAAATGGTGTAAAATTTAAAAATCAAAATTACATATTACTCCCTTCGTCTCAATTTATAGTGCATGTTCACTATTCATATGGTCAAACTTCATTCACTTTCTTTCTCTATTTTCGTTAGCAATTTGATAAAATAAAGTACTATTGTCACTACTAGTTTTGTAAATCTTTTGATGTAGTATTTTTATATGTAATTTTCAATTTTTAACTCTATACCAATTGTCATATAAAATAATTTGAAAATAATTTCAGTCAAACATAAACAGACACTATAAATTGGGACAGAGTGAGTAAAAAACTATATCAAAAAATCTACAAAACTAGAGGTGATATGAGTATATTATTTTATCAAATGCGTGACGAAAATAGGTCAACAAAGTAAATAAAGTTTAACGCTGTAAATAGTGAACGAGAAGTTTATTTATTGACGGAGGGAATATAAAATCTACGATTTAAGCTTCTAGAATTAAAACATGTGGCACGTTCATTTGGCAACTTTTTTGACAGTATGTCATGTGAGCAAGTAATATTTAAAGACTTAGTTAACAAAAAAAACTTATTCTGTGGAAATTAAATTTTGTATTTGTTGTAAACAAATTTCTTATCAAAATCGCGTTTAAAAATTTTAATTTTAATTCATTATGGAAAAATATTTAAATTAAATAATATATTTTGAAATTTATAGAACAAATATTCAAAAACAATAATCAAAACAAATAAATTTATTTTAAGGATGGATAGGTTGGTAGGACTAAAAGAAATTGCATTTGAATTTTTTTTTTTGCATTGAAATTTATGGGCGCATTTATTAAATTGAGCATTAATTATTTTATTTCATATATATTAAAAAAATTCTATGTCAAATAACAAGTATGTTCCATTTTAAAGTTAGTACTTTCCATTTTAAAATTATTATTTTCCATTTCTAACTTTGAAAAAATTTATAGATTTGTACACAAAAATTACTATTTTCTATTAATAACTTAAGAAATCACCCAAAATAGTAGTATAATATAGAGAAAGTGCCAAAATAAGAGTTCCATGTTTTTATTTCGTAAATAAGAGTTCGTACTGTAGGAATGTGGCACTGCACATTTACATTTTACTATATCTTTTGGTAATGTACATGGTCATGATTTGTAATGTAAATACATTTTAACTCCTATTTCACCAATAAAAACATGGAACACCTATTTTGATATATTTTCAATATTTTCCTCCTACTTTAGTTTGTTTCCCTAATAACTTTGTAAAATGATGAAGACTTGGTACGTGGGTATTTGTGTGTAAGAAATTAAATAGTAATTTGTGTTCCTAATCAAAATATTTATGGTATAATGTTAATTGCTATAAGTGTAATTACTATTAAATTAAATTTTTGAAAAATATAAAACGTGCTAATGTTTTTGACAACTATGTCAAAATAATATAATAAGTAATATCCTTACTTAATTATTCATCCGACCATAGATAGCAAAGTAACAAATATTAGTGTATAATAAAAAAATTCATATTTACAGTTTTTGGATAAAAAATTATAATATTTATTTTATGATGATTATTACAGATACAGAAGGAGAGAGATCGCCATCGGCTACAGCCTCACATCATTGAACACTTTTGAGAAATAATATACTCTCCAAACACGTTCCAGTACATGTTTCCCAAAATATTATCTAAATAAATCACCCTAAATAGGACTAAAACATAGAGAAAAATACCAAAATAGGACTTTCATGTTTTTTTCCCCGAAATAGGACTTTGCACTGTGGTAATGTGACTTTGCATTGTGGTAATGTAGCAGTGTACATGTGCACATTACTATATTTTTTTGGTAATGTATATGGCCATGTTTGGTAATGTAAGTCCTATTTCGAGAATAAAAACATGGAAGTCCTATTTTGGTATAATTTCAATGTTTTAGTCTTACTTTGGTCTTTCTTCCTATTATCTATACAATGTTCCACCCAGTGAACAATTATGCACACACTTCATTGTGCTTTCAAGTGCATAAGAGACAGAAGAGAATTGATTTATCTTCTATAACAAATGCTACTAATTTCTTTGAAGGTGATAATACAACAGTTACAACTATTGTCTGTGCATTATTAACTAATTATATAGCTAAGATATTATAAACAATGTAAAAAAATACTCCCTCCGTCTTAGAGTATTTGTCCACTTTCATTTTACACACTATCCAATACACTTCTTTAATTCATTTTATCTTGTAATTTGTATATTAAAAAATTATAAAAATTATATATTAATAATCTATATGTTAAGACAAATCAAACAAGATCACACATGACTATATTTAGGCTTACACATTGAGAGAATTTGATGAGTCAAAGTGCTTAGATGAACAGTTCCAAAAGTCAAAAGTGGACAAATATAGCGGGACGAAGATAGTAGTATGTAAATTAATATGGTGGACAGCTCAATATATTTTAAATTTAGATGTAAAGGTAAAACGTTTGTTTGCTCAAAATACAACAGTGGAATCATTTTTAGATAATCCTGTATTTAGAGAAATAGAAATTAAGAGTATGTTTAGATGCGAGAACTCCCTATATAAGAGTAAGAAACTATGAAAATATTAAAATAGGAGTCAAAAGTCTTTTTAGACTAAAATATGAGTTTACACTGCCATTGTTACTTTACCACACTCACCACATTGTCACATTGTAACTGTCAAATTAGCACCATCACACTACATCCATCACCGCCGGCCACTAGAGTATTATCGCGGATCACTGATGATTGACTTATCACACTGACATATTAGACTACCATTACTTTTCCATCACACTGCCAACATGTACTCTTAGACCACACTGCTATTATACTTCCATTTTGGTCTTAAAAGACTTAGAACTTCTACTTCTATATTTTATGCTTTTTTACTGCTATCTAGGGAGATTTTTTTAAAATTATATATATGTAACATGTAAGTTGTGTAGAATGATATATATATATATATATATATATATATATATATATATATATATATATATATATATATATATATATATATATATTATAAATGTGAAAGAGGGTTTTGTACCCCTTAATAAGATGTTCTTTTTCCATCCAAAAAATAGGTACATTATGCTTTAAATCATGTACATTGTTTTTAATACCAACCTTACCCATACACCGTTAGTTTTCTCTATCCACTTATATTCCCAATAAATGTAATTTAGTGCTATAGTATTAGACTCACACCAATTCTCACAATAAGAAAAATAGTTCTTTAAAATTTTTCTTTCATTATCTATTTGTGAGATGACTATCTCGAATTGAGCTACTTATAACATCCTCTGTTTGAATTTAATCTTTTCACTTTGACTTTTTCTCATTTTTAAAAATATTTGAAAGAGAATAATTTTTAATAGATTTGTTTAAAATGCCATTACAAAAATGTTTAAACATGAAAATTAGAAAGATTAATTTGGAAAATTCTCTAGAAAAATCTCTTATCACAAACACTATTTTCATCCCTACTCATTCGAAAAAATTCTTTTTCACTATATCTAGAAAGGAGCTCAATTGTATGTAATTACTAATGATACAATCTTGATATTATAGTGGCATTCGTGATAGATAATCACTAAAAAATAAAATATAGATATATAGAATCATGTGTGAGTTATGATTTCAAATGGAAAAGGAAATGCCACAAATGTAGTTGCATAAACCAAATAGATAAAGCTACAAAATGAAAAAAATTAACAATTAATAGCGATATAGCACTATGAAAACTGAAAACAAAACTAAATAGAAAAATAAATATGCTTGACATATGATTGAAAAATGGAAAAGGCAATGCCAAAATATAATAGTAACACGCCCAACGGCAAAGCTAATTTCGGGCACCACATCTCGTGCAATGCACGTGCCATTGCTAGTATATATATATGTGTGTGTGTGTATATATATATATATATATATATATATATATATATATATCAAAATGGAGCCAAAATTTCACCATTTTTTGGCTTTGGAGTGTGATGGAATAAATCAAAATGGATTTCTAAACTGTCTGCGCTTCTTTAATTAATGAAGTAGCAGTTAGTCAAGCAATGCGACTTTCAACGTTGAGCCGGGGGTCTCTTTGGAAACAGCCTCTCTACTTTCGAGTAGGGGTAAGGTCTGCTCACACCCTCCCCTGACCCTACTCTTGTGGGATTCAACTGGGTTGTTGTTGTTGTTGTTGTATATATATATATAGGGATTGACTCTAGTGAGATGACATATTATGGTGAGATGACCTGCTTCAGTGAGATGACGCTAAGCTCACCACACAATACTACAAAGCTCACCAACAAACAATGCAAAGCTCACCTGGAAATTAAGCAAAGCTCACCACTTTGAACACCAAAGCTCACCATTTTTTTAAATTTTGAAAAATAAAAAATTAATAAAAAAATAAAGTAAATCCACTAGTCAACCACCGGTCAGAGGTGGTGCAGCGGTGTCGACCGGCAGCCGCGGCCGGCGGCGGTGTCGATCGGCAGGCGGCGGCCGACAACTGGAGGCGGTAGGCGGTCAAAGGTACCGGTCAAAGGTCTAAATCTAGTCAGCACCCCCTCCTTTGATTTTTTTTCAAAAAAGAATTTTAAGTGTTGAAAAAACATGGTGAGCTTTGCTTTATACTCTGGTAAGCTTTGCAGTTGTCTTTGGTGAGCTTTGTAGTGGCTCTTGGTGAGCTTTGCGTAATCTGACCGTAACTCTTAATCCCACCTTAAGGTGTT